AACTCTAGGGAGGGGAGAAGGGCTAGGGGCTGAGTTTCAGCACATAACTAACGATTTAGTTAATCTTCCCTGCATAATGAAGCCTGAATAAAAACTCTGAAAAATGAGGCTTGGATTGCTTCCTGGTTGGTGAACATGTTGACATCCTGAGACAATGGGGCACCCCAACATCACAGTCATGGAAGTTCGTGTGTTTGGGAGACCCTTTAAGACTTTCCCCCACATACTTTTTCATCTACTGTTCATTTGTATTCTTCAAATCATATGTATAGTGCTTTTGTTGTTCTGTGATTTATTTCAGCTAATTATTGAATCTGAGGGTTTTTGGGAAGCCCTATATATGTAGCTGGCTGGGTAAGAATGCAGTTGGCTTGAGGGCACCTAGGCCTTATGGTTGGTGTTTAAATTGGGCACAGTCTTCTGGGACTGAGCGCCTTAACTTGTGGAGTCTTTGCCAACTTCGGGTAGTTAGCGTCACAATTGAACTCAATTGTAGGATGCACACTTGATACCAGAGAATTGGTGTCAGAATGCAGTCATGTCTGTAAGTTCTATATTACTTTTGTAGTCAGTGGTAGAACAAAAGATAAGAATTTCTACCAGTGATTGGAGATACCTTCTGGGAGAAATACGATAAAAATGTCATTTTTTTCCGATATATTTTCACTATAGAATAGCAAGAAGGCAAAATTTACACATTCTCAATTTAAACTCAAGTGAATAAATATTTACTGAGCACATACTATGAGCCAAATGCCTTGCTGAATGCTAGGCATTGCAACATTGAAGAAACTACATAGAATTTATAATATGATGGGTGACACAGATATATGAAAACAAACAAAAGCATATCGTCTTACTAATCTGTTCTGTCCAGACAACTTAAGCTACATTTTATTCATAATCTAGGTTCTGGAACAGCTGAGTGGGAGTTTGGTGCTACCTGCCAACACTGAGTTTGATTCATTAAGAAAGATTCTTATCCTGTTTTTAAGAAAATATTTACCTTGTCTCTATATTCATCCCAAAAGAATTTGAAAAGAATACTAATCAATCTCTGTTTCTTTAAATGAGGAAAAACATTGCCCTACCTATTCTAGAAAAGTTATAAGTACAATTTATATGGATAACAATTTTAATGTACAAACGTGTCTATTAATAATATTTATAGGATTGTGATTTTGCGTAATAAGCCTAAAGTCTTCACATTATACCACGAAGACAGTGCAGTGCATAGCCAGGGAGGACATTCACTTCAAATTCAATGAAATTAGCTCCCAATGGAAGAATGCAACACAACTTCTGTATATGTGTCTATTGTGAAGAGGAAAATGTACAGCGAATTGTTAAAACTATTAAAATCAAAATAGTAAATGCAGAAAAATAATGAATTTATGTAGCTAAGTTAATTAAATTGTTTGAATGTGGAGATCTTACAAAGTTAATTATTTTATGAAATAAATAACTTATAATACAGTAGTTAACTGTTTATTATTCTTAGGAAGTCCAACAATTGTCTTTTCATAAACTTATACACACACACACACACA